CATCATCTGTAACTGACCGTGGCATAATATGTGTTTTTGCTGCAATAGGAAATGTTTTTACTTGTAAACCTCCCTGTGTCTTAATCTATCAGTGAGACAGACTTGGATTGAGTGGTGATCCATCTCTGGAGAACCAGGATGTCGTCAGGCATGGTATAAAACCTGCAGACCGAGCTGTGGAGTCGGTGGAGGAGGTTCCTGTCCACACGTGAGTACCACAGAATAAACACGGCGCTGTTCTCCCTACAGCTCACAATCTGACAGCATGTCATCACTAATGTGTGTTTAGTTGGACCTTCCTAATGCGTTCTGCCTTGTGGAGCCAGATCTGCTCTAACTGAAGCAGCATAAGGAGGATGTTCGTCCTGAACAATCTTTCTTCAGACTTACCCTTTGTTTTCATGTACAGCTGGTTCTCAGCCTGATAGTTTTAGTTGTTGTATAGAACCATACAGGAATGCGTTTGGAGATTTCAACAGAACAAAGCAGGTTTTTATCGTCATTACTCTCGTTTTCTTTCATCATCTAAATCCAGATTAAGGAGAAGCTGTGCTGCATCTTCATCTGGCATCAGAACCAACACATCAGCTGATTTCTCACCAACCTCATCTGGTTCTTCCTCTCCAGTAATGACTCTGACTTGATTAAAATATGATATCTTTGTTTAACTGTTTCGTTTTTGTTGAGCATTAGAGGAAAAACCTAGATTTAGACTTAGGCATTAATTTTAATGTTTTATACAAAGAGTGTATAAAAAAAAGCACAATTTTAATTTGTGTAGCTCTCATGACATTTTCATTTCTAAAAAACAGTTGTTAGAGCAAATGTTCCTGTTTTTTATCATTACATCTGTTCTCACTGCTTTGCTAGGACTGATTTCCTTCATAAAGCAAAGATTAATGTTTGTGTCCTGATGACATTTAGGGTTAATAGAACTTTAACAGGACTATGTTAAAATACTGCTCTCTGTCTTCTATCATGCTACCCATTCTTCCCTCCCTTCTGAAATTGATTGGAAATTCATTTCTAATCATTTTCATTAGGAAAAATATTTAAATAGAACTCATGCTGACATTTTTAATAACCTTTTTTTCTTGTAAAGTTACGCCAGAGAATTGAACTTGTATGCATGCATGTTCCTGTGGATATGTGTGAAGATTCTTTATCATCCAGGTCATGGTCAAGCTTGAAAAGTTCAGTTTGGGCAACTAGACGTGAAGTTTTCCTTGCCTTTCTTATGCTGAGACATCCTGGCTTTCTTGTCCTTCTCGTCGAGCAGGTCCAGTTGCCTAAACTGACCAAACTGTTGAGATAGATGTACCTTTACCATCATTTTGCAGTCTGTGCAACGCAGCAACACTTACTGTCTGCAGGGGAGTCCCTATTTGGTGCAACAGACACGTGACTGGAGATAGCAAGAGGGACTAAAGTTAGTATGGTGATAATAAAGGGTTCTAATGTTGGCACGGTTCTAATAAGGGGGGATAATGTTAGCATAGTGATTGATAGGAGGTCAGATTTTAGCATTCTAGTTGTAAGGGGAGCTAATGTTATGTTACATTAGTAAAAAAAAAAAGCCATATTCAATCTCTGGATTTCTCTCGTGTTAAGGCAGGCAGTGCTTCACGCGCCCTGCAGCCCTGACCCTTGATGAATAATCGGTGTCAGTCTAACCTTTCTGGTTAGACTACCAAACCGTGTTTCTTGCAGTTTTCTATTTTCTAATTTCTTCAGAAAGCAAAGCAGAGAGCAAACAGTGTGGAGAAGATCACAGGATTCATGGTTGTGCTCCTTTCCTTCATATGTGTCCGTTTTGTTTAAGCTAAAAAAACATAAAGATGATGTTGACATTAAATTCTGTTTTTGTTCTTTAGGCATCGCCAAACTTCATGCTTTATGGAAAACAAGACTCCTGGTCCAGACATCTTGCTCCTGGAGGGTTTGAAGGTCACTCCTCAGTCCTCTGTCCCAGCCTTCATCCTCCTCCTCGTCATCTACATCTTTGTGATGCTGTCAAACATCGGCCTGATAGCTATGATCACCCAAGAGAGGAGCCTGCATCAACCCATGTTCCTGCTATTCTGTAACATGGGCGCCAATGACGCGGTCGGGGCCACGGCCATCATCCCTCGCCTGCTGAGTGACATCTTCACTCCAACCTCGCACAGACTCATCCACTACAGCAGCTGCGCCCTGCAGGCCTTCTGCGCCCATGTTCATGCAAGCGCCTCTCACACCGTTCTCATGATCATGGCCTTCGACCGCTATGTGGCCATTTGCAACCCGCTGCGGTACCCCACTGTAATGACCAACCGGATGGTTGTGAAGCTGTCGGTGGGGGCGTGGACGGTGACTTTGTCGTTGGTGTTGGTCCTGGTGGGGCTCAGCGTCCGCCTGTCCCGTTGCAGGGGGGTCATTTTCAACCCGTTCTGTGACAACGCCTCGCTGTTCAAGCTGTCCTGTGAGAGCGTCCTGATCAACAACATCTACGGCCTTGCCTACACCGTGGTTCTGCTGGGCTCCTCGCTGGGTAGCATCGCGATCACCTATCTGAGGATCGCCATGGTGTGCCTCATCAACAGGAGAGGGATGAAAAACAGCCGGGCCCTGCAGACCTGCGCCACCCACCTCATCCTCTACATCATCATGTTTGTTTCAGGAGGCATCATCATTCTCCTTCATCGCTTTCCTGACTTAGAGGACCAAAGGAAGTTAGCCGCCATCATGTTCCATGTGGTCCCTCCAGCCATGAACACCATCATCTATGGACTGCAAATCAAAGCTGTGCGCCAGAAGATCTTCATCATGTTCAACAAGAACACGGTGGCAGATACGAAGTGATCAAATCAAAATGATCCCCATGAAAATAAGTTCTCAATGTTCCACAAACAGAACCTTCTCTCTTGATGTTCCCACCTGGAACACTAGGAGGAACATCCACTTAAACATTAATGTCCTCAAGCATGTTTGGGAACTTTAACCTGGATGTTTATGGATCCAAAAACTGCAGATTTTTCTGTATTCACACATAACTATTATGATCCAGGCTGTAAGGAGGCAAAGAGAATGTCAGGAAAAACTAGGATTCAACTGTAATGATTATTTATTAGAGTGGAAGTTTTTACAGAGCAGAAACATCTGTTACAGAAAATGTACTCATTTAAAATAAATCTTTTATTTAACTAAACTTATTGTAAAAGCTTGTTTTACTATCATGAACTAGAAGACACCATCTGTGGGTACATCTGCTTCCTGGTTTAGCTTTTGGTGATTCACAAATAATTGAAATTCTCAATATTCCATTAATGTGGTCAGAAATAAGGATCAAATGTATAAAACCATAGGCAATTACAACAATGTTTATGTTATTGCACTAAATAAACTGGAAATTCAGTTAGCTAAATGCAGCACCTGTGAATAACTGGTTGCAATTGAGCAAATGTTGGCTCTACCTCTGACCACCAGATGGCTGCAGCCAGCTTCTATTAAAAATGTTGGAATTTTAATGAGCATTGAGTAGCATCACCAGCAAATTTCTCTTTTACTTTTTATTTAAAAAAATAGAAATATTAAATGATGATTTGATATTGAAATATGGCGATTTGTTTCAGTCAATAACAATGATATGACATGTCTGATGTTTCACTATACATCAGAGTCCATGACTGATGTATAGACTCCTGTCACTGACTGAGGTTAAAGTTTTAGGTAGTTTTAATCAATTTAATTTTTAAACAAATTATTTCTTCTAGTTAGGAGTTTGATAAACATGGTAAAAATAACTGTCACATGTTTTTCCAGACATCTGCAGGAGGGCTTTAATAACAGTCTTTCTGAGACTTTCATTATATTGTAATTAAAGTAATATTGCATCGAACAAAATGTAGAAACATATCATGCAGTTGCCTGAGAGAGAGAGCAGGTGGACCGACCACCAGACCAGGTAGGGGATCCATCTCAGTGATGTAGAGTTTAATTTTATAGAAACACTGAATAAAGAGCTGAGCTCTTTAAACCAGGTCTGCAACAGGGAAGGAGGAGGATACATTTTTTGATTGTTGAAGTTTCTTCTTTGAGGAAAACTGACCAAACATAAATCAGTTCAAACAACCAAGCAGAAAGTATTGAAGTATGAATATCCAAAGAAACAAAGAACAGGTTCTGGCTTGGTGTTCAGACTCTGACCTCCATAATCCAGGTCCGTGTTTATCTACATCCTGGGCTTATGGTTGTCTTTGCACCCCAATGTATCCCAAAGCGACTTCTCTTACATCACATGATGTCATCCTGGCATTGGTCAGATCCCAGTTTGGATGCTCCTTGGTGCTGATAGAACCACTAGGTGTAACCTTAACCCGATCCTTCTGATGGCGTCCTGCAGGTCCTTGTTCCTTAAGCTGTAGACGATGGGATTGAGGAACGGCGTCAAGGCGGAGTACAACACAGATACAATGATGCGTACCTGGAGGGAAAATAGAAGCTCCAGTCAGAGAGGAATGTGTCTCTTTAGGCTTAGTGATGACGCACCATGAACCATGAACATTTCTCTGAAACCTTAATGCAGAAGGAAGAACCAGACTGAGACGCTTTGTCTCCTCGACCTGATCAGAGATTGACGTCATACACACTCCGCTTTGTTTTTAAAAATTTAAATATAAAAAATATATATCCGCGGATGTCTGGGGGACAGTAATTCACCTACATGTTATGAATGCTGGCGTACCATAAAGAATAAATTATGAACAGTTCAGTTTGTGCCTTTAAGTCGTTGCCCATAGGCAGACGTTACTTGGATATAACTGAACGAAATATCTTCAGAACAGCTCCAAATGACACAAAACTCATATGGGTGATGGGTAATCAAGGGCCCAAGGTAAAAAAAAAAAAGGTGTTCCCCTTTAAATTATCTATTATAACCATTAACCTAACATTCATGGTTCTGGATTTCAGCAGGAAACCGGACGGAACCAATGCCTGTAGGCCAAGCAGGATTTCAGTAAAATCCTTACCTCTGGTGAAACGTCTCGCACTCTGTAAGAAATGTAGATAAAGGAGGCAGCGCTGTAGGAGAAGGACACCACGGTCAGGTGGGCGGTACATGTCGCCAAAGCCTTCAGCCTCTGAGTGACCGCCATGCTGGACATGGTCACAAAAATCAGGATGTAGGAGGTCAGGATGAGGATCCCTGTGGACAGCAAGGCCACCAGAGCGAAGGCCAAAGACACAATGTTATCCACGGATGAGTCGGCACACACAAGACGCCTTAAAGAGGACGGGTCACACCAGCCATGTCGGATCACATTTGGGCCGCAGTAGCGCTGCTGCAGGGCCATGGTGGTGGCCGGCAGAGGGCAGAGAGCTCCGAATCCCCAGGCCCCTACCACCAGAAGCACCTGGACAGGCCGGGTCATAATGGCTGTGTAGCGAAGAGGGTTGCAGATGGCCAAGTACCGATCGTAGGCCATGACGGTTAGGATAGCACGGCCAGTCACTGACAGGTTGATGAAGAAGAACATCTGCAGGAAGCAGCCATTAAAAGAGATGGTCAACTGGTCCATCAGGAAGCCTGCCAGCATGTTGGGGATGATGCTGGAGGTGAACAGCATGTCCACAAACGACAGGTTGTAGAGAAAGAAATACATCGGGGAGCGGAGCTTTGGGTCAGTAACGGTCTGTTTCAGGAGACAGAGAAGAGACAGAAAACACATGATGGGTTCATCAGAACGAGAACCAGATCCTGAGAAAATCATCCATTTTACCACAAAGATGATGAGGCTGTTTCCTCCCAGGATGATGACGTAGACCAGCAGCAGGATGCTGAAAAAGATCATCCTGTGTCCAGCGAGGTCAGCCAGGCCGTGGATGATGAAGAATGTAACATCTTCACCCTCTCTGCTGGCATTCAGGGATCTGAGGCTCAGAAGAGGCTGATTTCCATCTAGAAAAAGAGAGTCAGAACAAAAAACTATGTTTACATATTCAATAAAATAGTATAAAATGCTTATGAACAGGCCAGTTGTTTTAGTGGAAATGTCATTTATGCATTCTTTAAAGTCTACTTTCTTAGCAAGCTGATGCTCTATAGACAGCATTGCCAGACCATTGAACTTTACCTGGGGCATCCTTGAGCCCAGGTAGATTTTTATTCATCTTAATTTTACTAAAGGCCTGCTCACCGTCAGCCACTCACCGGTAGAGATAGGAAAATACCTAGCAGGTTCTTCCATTTCCAATAACAATGTTTTGTGTGCACAGTTTCTTTAATGCCTTGGAAATCTTTCATTAAGCTTTCTGTATTTTATGTTGGATATTTTCATCCCAACTATTGAGTTTAATGCACTAGTTGATCTTTTCTCTACTTGATAGGAGAACAGCAGGCATGGTGAGCAGAATATGGCTATTTTTGACCTGTTGTATATCAGCCAGTTCCTAACAACTTTCCCCCTCCATTGTGGGAGGTAGAATAGGTTAGACACACTATGAATCTGCTGGCAGATAATTTACCATCTCTGTGAAAGACTTCTCGTTTGCCATTAAACATACTGTACATCATTCACACAATCAGAATCAGTCATTTTTGTTGGCCACAGTGCAGGATCAATGAAATTAACGGCATAATCTGTTTCTGAGCCACTATGCTCAGACTGTCCAGTTGGGCAGGAAGACCCTCCATCTCTCTGTTAGCAGTGGGGATGGCTCTCT